AACACAAGAAATCCATTGAAGTAAATATACCACAAGTATAAGATACATGATTCAATTACTTACTAAATAACACGTGTAATTAAACCATTCCAAGACAAATGTGTATATTCATTAAGTACATTAATGAAACCTAGGTACAACGGGTCTAGATACATAATGAAAAGCTAGAAGCTCCATGAAGTACAAGTTACGACCATGTGAGCTAAGTTCCATACAAGGGAAATAATGAAATATAAGCTTCAAAACTTATCCGATTATTCTCAATTTGATACACGTGAAGGAACTTATCAAGGAAATCATTAATACAAAGTTAGAAACTTAATCAAGTGCATAGAACCATTGAATGGATTTTAATTATTTCATTTAATTAAAATATCTAGATTTTGAAACTCGTCCAAATGATCTCAATTTAAAGTATGTTATACAACATGCCAAGACTTGATTTAAGGACACGATACGAGTACATTCCATGCAATATACGGCCATGAGTATTAAACCTTAATACTAGAAAATATTAAATGAAAGGTTTCAAAACCTAATCAAATATTCTAGATTAAATATATATGAAACTATATGGTATGCATATCAAGAATATCAAGCCGGAATTCTAATGGAGTGAATAGTACACTCGGAATAAATTAATTAATCAATTAATTAAATATTCTCTAGATTTTAAAACATCTCCGATTAATCTTGAATTCACCTATGTTGAAGAGCATGCTAGGGCCTAATATAATATGTTAACACATATTGATTTCAAGCTAGTTAAGGCCATATGAATTAATCATTTATTCAAGATAATTATTAAATAAAATCTTCAATACTTGTCCAAATGATCTAAATTTAATATATGTCAATGAACATGTCAAGAAGTAATATTCTATCATGCCATATGTTTAAACCAAGTTACGAGCAACTGGGATAATTAAATCATTCACAAGAAAAATAAATAATAAAATCTCTAGATTTGTTATCCAAGCATGTAAACAAGTTGTATAAGCATCCATAGCATACTATATAACAAGAAAATGAAATTATAACACCCCCTACCTCAATTTAAGATGAAAATCTCAAATCCCCACCGAAAGAAAAGTGCTCCGAATCCGATAATACCGAAGGGTTTTGTCGGGGACAACACGATGAACAAGAATACCCAAGAAGCCTCATGAAAATCACAACTTGTCTTCAAACCCGAACTCAAAATTTGGCCAAAAACAGTTTCTAATAAGTGGGAAAGGTAGAGTACGACGAGGCAAATAATAAACGTTAAAGTCGAAGACTTTTTACTAAAGAAATCAAGTGGAGGAGAAGAAAGAATGAAGGCAGCCCCTTGGGCTCCCATGGCTGCCGGCCAAGAGAGGGGAGAAGATGATTGAATTCTGATTTTTTGACTTAAGACCCCCTATTTATAGAAAATCTCAAAAAGTGCCCTAAAAGGGCCTCGCTGGGTCAGGAAAAGTGAAATTTGAACAAATGCGCTCAAACGGTAAAACTCCGTGAACAAAAAATATTCGAAATGAGAAAACATGAACAACGGAAGAAACGACGTTAAAACCGAGTCCCGAGCAGAGAAATATGTCCCAAACAAGTTCGGCGGCAACTGGGGTTAGAAACTCTGAAACTGGAGAAAAATGATCAAAAGGAAATTCTAAGAGTACATGACTCGACGAAATGTGAAAAATGAATCCTGTACGAGAATCCAGGCTCCAGACGAGGTATTTTGCAATAACTTTCGTTAATTGCACAATGGCCCCTCCAAAAAGGGAAAACTGCAAAACTGTCCAGAATGAAAATATCTTCCAAAAGATATTTTCTTAGATACTCCTGAAATAAAATATTTTCAAAATATATTTATGAAAAATACCCCAAGAAAAGAAAAAGATTCTAAAGAACTGTTCATCCATACCCCTATGGACACCGAGAGCAACCAGAGTACTTTTTTGCAAAAGTAAAGATACGTATTTCAAAGAAACCACTGAAGATGAAGGCACGTGAAGTCAAAAACCAACTCCGAGCATGAAAAGTGAGGTTGTGCCAAAAACTGACAAACGGGGAAAAGACAGAATAAGGAAAAAGACGAAAAGTGAATAGTGTCCGAAAAGTGAAAATGCGGAAATGACTCGGTCCTCAAAGGAAGTTGTCAATCCGCAAAAAAGAGTCTCAGAAACCAATTCCAAGCACTCGAGACGACACTATGTGATAAGAAACAGAACTCATAAAAGAAAATTAAACGGAAAAAATTTATCTGTAAAATTTCAGAATAAGAAAAGAAAGGAAAATGACCGGGTCATTACACGTTCCCCTTTTGAGTGTCTTTTTATTTTCTTATTACTTAATCAAAAAAAAAAAAAAAATCCCAAAAATATGAAAAGCGAATTTCAAATTCTAGGTACAATGCAGAAAGCCCTCATTTAAAAATTTACCATTTCATGGTTAATCAGACAAATAAGCAGCCATCTTGTGACATGAGAAGCATCAAGCATAAATGTCCAACAAAACCCTTTTTTTTTTTTTTGTATCACTGATTCTGAGTATTGAAAATAATGATTGAGTAATTCTACGGTCTTGGATTGCTATTATTATATTATTACTTTCTGAGACTTTATTACATTTAAAATTCCACATATTCTGTGTTTTTTTTTTTTAAATTCCCTGAATGCAATATGGGCTTGCTATTTTTAAAACCTTGGTTTCTAATTTTATTCCCAAGCCTGCCTTAGATGTATCCAACAACAGTATGTCATAAAAGATCTTTATGATATCTTCCATTATTTCATCTAAGCTGGTGCAGAACGGTATGGACTTAAGTACTTATACTTAGGGTAGTCCAACTTCTATAGAGAAATTGTTACTTTCTCCACAGAGTCGTAGAGTGCGAACACTCGGTTTGGTATCCTTATCCGTACCCTTAATAATATTAATAAGATTGAAATGGACTCATTTTCAAAATAAATTTCACCAAAAAATCTCTTTTAACTCAACTCAATGCCTTCTGTAACTCTATGAAACCATGTTTAAATCTGGTTGTTTACTTTTAACATTCCTATCACTTACCTCGTAAATAAGTGGCCTTCATTGAGATCTCCCTAGCATAAAACCAAATTGATTCTCCGACAATGCGGTTCCATTCCTTAAAATTAGTTTTATAACCCTTTCCTACAATTTTCGTGCGTGACTCATTAATTTAGTTCCTTGATAATTACCACAATTTTGTATATCAGATCTATTTTTTATATATTAGGTAAATGTTTTTTTTTTTTTTTAGTACTCACACGCATTTGCCTTATCTTAGACTTGAATCCCTTACCTCCCTGTAAAAAGTAGGAGGCTGATACCGTTAAGTTACTGGCCGTTGGTTTTAAGTAAATGTTTTTTCCATTCATTAGGCATCATTCCTTCTTTTAGAATTTTATTGAATAAATTTCTTAGGCATTCAATTCGCATTTCCTAGACTTCCCCATGCTTCTACTAGTATGTTGTCAGGTCTCCTGCTCTATTATCACCCATCTTTTCAAGCGCGGCATCTATTTCTCTGTCATTGAACAAATTTATAATTCTCATATTATGTTCATTGCATTTGTAAGATTTTAGTTAGGAGATTGAAACCCCTTTTTAACCAACTCATTGCTCCTAATCAAACAACACTTGTCCCAGGGAGAAGGATAACAGACTATATCGTGTTGTTCCAAGAACTATCAAGAGATCATAAAGCTCTCAAACCAGCTAAATGTGCTTGAAAGTCTGTGAGACCATTCACTGGGGCTTTATCATTTCAGCTATGATGCTTTCCTCCATTTTTATTGATTGGATTATGTGTATTCCATCCCCTACCCTCTTATTAGCTTTTAGTGGTGAGCTATGTGGTTTTTTTCACAGTGGAAGAGGCATTATACGAGGGGTTTGAAAAAATGCATATCTGTCTTGGGAATGGAGGGGCAAACTGTAATCATGACGGAAAGATATAGAATGGGAGCTTTAGATTTGGAAATGTATTGAAAATTTTTTTTTTTTTTTGATAAGTAAGCCCAAGTCGCTAACATATGTGACAGATAAAATTGTTTTGGCTGACTGGCAAAAACTTTTCCCTATAAAATAAATAAAAAATAAAAAAATGCATGGGAACTCATTTAAAATTCAGAAGGGCAGATGTAATTGGGCATCAGCAGTTTGATTTAAAGGTTATACGCCAAGACATTCCTTTATACTTTGGCTAGCTGCTCGAGGAAGATTGCAAACTCTCTCTGCTTAAACAGAAAGGGATCATCCAGAAAGATGCATGTGTGCCATGCAGGAATGCATCAGAAACACTTCATCACCTTTTTTTTCAATTGCAAGTTCACTAGTTGCATCTGGAAAATCATTCAAAACAAAGGTAAACTGTCAAGGTTCCCTCTTGTTATCTGTCAGACATCTTGGAGTGGAGTGGTTCCTACATGAGAGGGAAATTTTGGGCTAACCGCTAATGTCATTCACAAAGTTGCCATAGCTGTGCTTTGGTTTATAACACTTTTGAGGAAAGAAACAAAAAGGATTCAGGCTAACTGTTACAAGGATGAGAAAACAATCATCAACTGTATAACTGAGGATGTCCGGTTAAGATATCTTATTCACATGGAGCGGAGGGGTCCACTAAGAAAAAAGATTTCCAGCGACCATGGAATATCCCCGATGAAGTTTTTGCTAAGGTTCTGCAAACGCAATTGAAGAAAAATGACCCATTTTCTAAATACTCAATTAAAACTGAAATATTCAACAGGTAGGTAAACAAGTCACTAAGGTTTCATTAACAAATACTATAAATATAAGCAAAACAATCAAACACCAAAAACCCTACTACATATTGAAAACCTCAAGCATATAGAATGTCTTTTGAGGAATAGTAATACAGAACAATGCTTGCTTCATTGAATTGAAAATAACAGTGAAAAAGGACATAAAATAGTTATTTGGCATACCTATCCAGTCATCATCCTGAAATAAATTTGTTCACGATATTGCCTCTAACTCAAACTTCCATGACAGGGTGATACCATGCTCTCCACATAAGCTCCTTCAAACGTACAATTCTCCACATCTGGGAAATTCCGAAGTACCAGATACCTGTATGTTCTCTCTCTTGAATTGTATAGAACTAACTTCTCGGAGTCTATCTTTAATATGACTTCATGATTCTCCAACAAAGCTAATAGACGGATTCTGTAACATGGGATTTCAATGGCAACTTTAGTCCAAGCCTGTGCCACGCCATATTCTTTCATCACCCATAATTCACGACCATTATTATATGGAGTAATACAGAGACATCCTCCAAGCAACCCCAAGGCGTCGATGAATTCCATAGAGGGAATAGGATCCGGAAACTCCCAAAATTTCTCGTCCGCCAAACAGAAAGCAACAATCTTTATTGAGCCGCGGTCATTATAGATCCAGTGGATAGCTCCATTCAGCGGTACCCCGGGCGCAACAGGTATAGCTCCATTCTTGTGACTGTTAGGAAGGCCTTGAACCTTTTTCCAGGAATCAGTTCTTAGTGAATATACATAGAAGCTTTTTTTATCTGCTGTCACCAGTTTGTAATCATCCACGGAGTGATCATAGCCAAATCCCATTACACAACAAAAATCATCCCAAAACCAGAATTTAACCTCAGGTTCAGGTATTCGCTTGGACTCTTTGGTGGAGAGATTGGATACATAAAAACCTGTTCTGCGGAACTTGGAGCACAACAACCCATGGCAAGAACCAATTATAAAGCAGGAACTAAAAGAAAGCAGAGAAAAAAAAATTTAACAATTACAAACTCAAAAACATTATAAAAATCGGATTATACATAATTTATTTTTACTTACATTACTTCTCCAGCCTTATGTTTTTTTTTAATTCATTTGAAATTCTTCTCACTTATTAATATTAATAAAAAAAAAAAAACAATTACTTTAATTCAATTGACATTAGTATCCTAAATTCCTAAATTTACTCTATTTCGCTACAATAATGTCAGTATAATATTTTGTTGGTAAGGAGTTTTTTTTTTTTTTTTTTTGGATAAGTTGTTAGGATAATATTAATACGGATTCTAATTAGAACTCTTAAACAAAACTAAGTAATAAGATTATGACCAAGTTCAAAGAACAAAAAAAATCATATAGTGACAATTAAAGAATAGTCTCTTGGACGTAATCTCACTAAAAGATGATAATTTCTCTCATGAGCACTGTTAAACTGCAAAAGTAAGATAAGTTTTCTCAATATCCTTATTCCTCATTCTTAACTTCTTATTTAAAACTTATCATTTCTAATAATAAATCTATGAAATGTATTCATTGAAATTTCCATTTATTTTTTAATTTTTGTCTTTTAGTAAAAAAATTCATTAGTTTACTCTTCTTGAAAGTTATTTTTTGTAGGCTAGTATATTGCTACCATAAAAAACTATACGGTGAAAATCAAAGAATAGTCTCATAAGTGTTGCAATAATGTCTCACTAGAAGACTATATTTCCTTTGGGTCATGACCATCATCGGGTTCCGAAAATAAAGTTATTTTTTAAAAAAGATTATTTAACATGTCATTCTTGATATTAAATTAATGAAAAGTATGCATTGAATTTTCAATTTATTTTTCATATCTTGTCCTTTAATTTAAAATTTAATTAGTTAAATTTTTTTTCTCTTGAATTTTTTTTTTTTTTTTTGCGTGCTATTGTGCAATCTCTAATAAACTTGACGTTTATTTCTTTGCAATCAGCTCGTATAATTTGAGAGGCCATTCGTTTAATAAGATTTGTTTGTGTTACTACATGGGCCTTAGTCTTCTTCGAGTCCTCGTGGAGCCAAGTCATTTTTGTTGGGCTTAAAAGCCTTTGTTTGGGCCTAATCTGCTAGGTTGGCCCACTCTGTAAATACCTCTTCATGTTGTTGAACTTTTCTTAAAAAAGATTTTAAAATGTCCATCAAAACATCACTTTTTAGAATTCTTTTGGTCTAATAAAAAGTACCACAAGCAACCTGATGATCGGAACTTACTTTAAAAATTTTAAAATAAATGTCATTTTTTAAGAATCTAACTTTTTCAAATTTTAGTATTTTTTATTATATTCGTAGTGGATGACTTATCAAATTTATTCATAATAAATTCACATGATGTAATAATTCACTTTTTATAAGTTCAACCAAGAAATTTAAATTGGTAATGTTACAAAAATAAAAAGTTAGATATTTATTTTGGAGCGAAAGGAGTAATAATAATAATTTTTTACTAATATATAAGGTTATTTGATTTATAAACACTGCTGAATTTTTAAATTTTGGGAGATAAGAATTCATTAGATTTATAAACACTACTATTTTTTTATTTTTTTTTTTTGTCTTGGAAGTTGTTTTTTTTTTTTTTTTTTTCGTTCTTTTCGAAAGTTTCTAATTATTATTTTATTTTGATATGTGTATATTTTAACTCGGGAGTTAGATTTTGATTTCTTGAAAATGTCTAACCATGACTTGATTTTGGTAGAGTGACACTCATGTCTCTACCGAGATGGCTTTGGAGAGAGTAGCCAAGTGACACCAAGAGCTTATCATTAGTCCTATTCACTTACTTACTAGTGAGTGTTTTGTAAATATTGAATATCATTATTACTTTAATTTTGTTCTATATATATATATATATATTAGGTCTATTAACCTATTTACTAGTGTGTGGTATTTTGTAAATCTTAGCCATTGGATATCATTATTACTTTGATTTTGCGCTCTCTCTCTCTCTCTCTCTCTCTCTCTCTCTCTCTCTCTCTCTCTCTCTATATATATATATCATTAGGTCTGCTCAACTACTCACTAGTGTGTAATTACTTTTGTAAATATTAGCCAATATATATGTGTTTTTAAAAAATTTAGATGGAGAATTGAAAATTTTAATGTATGTACCTAAAAATGTGCGTAATTAGAGACATCTCCCCTTAAGTCTATATTCTATATTAATTTGATTTTTACTTAAATAAAATGATATAAAAACAAAAATGAGTTACACTTTTAAAATACACGTATATAACAATTATATATTAAAAAAGAAATTGAAGAGACGCGGGTAAATTATAAGCAAATTATATATATAAAATAATATATGTATATACAAATTATATACTGAGTATAAAAAAATAAAAAAAAAATTGAAGAGACTCCGGAAGTTGTGAAATAAAGGACTAATTGCTATGTCCTCCACGTCTTCTTTTTTTCACAACTTCCCACGTCTCTTCAATTTTTTTTTTATATATAATTTGTATATGTATATATATTTAATTTTCCAAAAGTCTGGACTATTCTCGCTTCGCGCCATCCAACAGTAACAGAAGGTATGATCGATCCTTTCTTTCCTCAAATTATGTAAAGACTCGCAATTGTGTTTTTTTTTTTTTTTTTGAAAGGTAAAGCAATTGTGTTTTGTTGTGATCAATTATCAAGTTGGCTTATTTTATCTATTTAATTTTGAGAAGATTCAAGAATTTGAAACATTTTATTGAAAAAAATCATTTTTATGCATTGGAATTTCGAAACATCAACAATCTGTTTCATATTACATGTTTTATGTTATGAATATATAAATAAAGAAATATATAGTGAGATCTGCTCAAAAGAAAGTTTTATTACTTAAAAAGAGTACACAATACAACATACTACCACATATAGATGAATTGAATTGCACCGTCTCTGTTTGCTTCGTCTTGCTCTAATCAGATAGTTAAACATCAACAATCCAACGGCAATCTATCACTTGCATCCCCAAATCAATCACTCGTGAATATGATTTTAGTGTAATCATTACTATTACAAATTGCAAGCTTACAATTTGTATATATAATATTATAATTGTGAACCCCACTATAATATATATATATATATATATATATATATATATATATATATATATATAACACTTTAGATGAATTTTATTGTTTCATAGTTTTTGTTTCAAAAAATGTCTAAAAGAAGTTGTTATAGTTTGATCTTTTGATTTTTCTTTCACTTGATCACAATTTTTTTTAAGATAAAAATACTGTTTCGCTATCAAATAATAGGAATTAATGATTTTCTTAAAATCTAATTCAGTTTCTTAGGACGCACTACCTCTTAATGCTGATGCTTTTGCAACACAAGCAACTGAAATGAGTCCGATCAGCACCTTCTCTCCTGCTTCAGTCCCAAAGGTGAACTTATTATTTATGAAAAATGAGAAAGTTAGACGAATCTGACTGTATTTGTTTGAGTGGTGATGACATCATTCAGTTCGATGGACTATTTTATGTGATTGGTGAATAAAGTTTCATCCCTACTCACATAAATATAGTCCCGGATTCAAAGTTATCCTGATGTTGCTACAAATCAGTCCGACAACCTTCTCGATTCTCCTCCTGAGGATGCTGACGAGCTCATTTCTAAACTAGTCTCAGCAGTAGAAACTGAGACCGAGACCAATACTCTACTTGACTCAGGGAGACCGAGACCGAGACCGAGACCGATAATCTACTTGCGATAATCTACTTGACTCAGGGACCAAAGACACTACTTACAACACCAAATCATTTGAAAAGGCAAAGAAAACTTTCTTCACCTTTCTGAAAGGAGTTTTTCCTGATGTTGAAGATCAGCCTACAATCTCGCAATTGATTGATTGTAGGGAATTTTCTCCTGAGCAACTGTATGAGATGACAATATTTCAATCTCAACTGTCCACCATTCTCAGCATCTTCCGAGCTTCATCTTCCGTGCTTGAGGAGACCAAGAAGAGTCTATCCAGTAAACAAGAGTCAAAGGTGTCCCTCGGTGACCAGATCAAGGCCGATAACAACTCCTATCAGACCAAGAAATCTTCCCACGGGGAGCTGGTGGAGAAAAGGCAAAAGCTCCGGGAAGAAATCGACTGTTTAACTGCTGATTTGGCTGAGGTGTCTGTGGCCGAGGCAGTGGCTGAAAGAGAAGTTAAGCAACTCCAAGGACGTATCCTCAACATTGGTGCTTCGAGGAGCTCGGTGATGGGGAACATAACTATTCTTGAAGCGTGTAGGAAAACCGCCGAAAGTTTTCTCACCTTGGTTCAAACTCAGTGGGATAGGCTGAAGAAAGCCTTTGGCGGGGTTTGAGATTTTTAGAACAATAATTTAATTGAGGTTTTGGACGACTGCAACTTTGGTCAATAAGAACAATTTCTTTTGTGACATGCAATAACAATCTTTTACTCTTTTAACTATGTTGGAACGTTTGCATGATCGACTGGTAATATTTTTTTGAATCAACCCAATATTCTTAGAGTATAAATTAGCACCTTAATGGCTCCAGCTCCTGACCAGTTTGTGCAGGGATGGCAAATTCCCTTCTTCATAGTCATAGTCAAGTCCACGACCAGTGACAAGCTCCTTGAACTAAACCGAGTCGACCTGCCTAAATTCTGAAGAGGTACCATCACGTGGTCCTGCACGCCCCTTTCTTGGAACCATTTCCAGTCAAACTCTGCTCTTTACTAACCAGCATTCATGTCTTTCTTATTTCAAGTGTCTTAGGAATCTGTCCGTGACACTCTCCCCCACCTGAATCTTGCGACGCCCTCGTCGCAGTACGGCACTGCTCCACTGCGTCTGGTGTTTCCAAAGTCTACCTCCAAGCGGTATGCTCAACTTCTCACCATCACTTCCTTGTGCAACCCTTTGCACTGCACTCACCCAATAATAGCTCTCGGACCAAGGGGATGTCCGCCGCAACTCTCCGTTATGCCACCTCCGGGGCATCCCGAGCAAGCAAGGGCCTCCTGCCGACTTGATGCCCGCCCTTCTCCACGGTTTGCATTACCCAAGGAGCTCGCACGAACTTTGGTGCGCGCGGACCATCGGTGCGCAACTTCAAAGGACTCTTCATCTTAGGGAAATGAAGGTTTATCTCCAACTGCATTGATTCGAATTACGTTGACGCAACTTCAGTGCACGTCTTCATTCTCAGACCCCAGATCGACAAGGGGGCACACCTCTTGTCCTGCTCTGATACCATTTGTCACGGGCCTAAAAATTTGGCGCAGCGGCACGAGTCATGCGACACCGAGGCGCTGCTTCTAAATGCTTTGATCAATTCAAGGAAAATCAATATGTTCATGTACATGTAGCTTGCACAACCTGCTTTAAGGGACTGATGAGAAAATAAGATTCTTAAAACCATAGCTACTCTATCAAAATTTAATATGGATTTTATTTTCTTTGCTATATGGATTCGGTTGTTCGGAATTGATGTTTTGAAATTAAAATTAATTATAATTATATATATATTCTTCACCTCTTGATCTATAAGCATTCTATCATACTATCTAAGCGATATTTGGAACATCTTTTGTGCATTTTTATTTTTTTTTCAAGCACTCTTAACTGTATTTGTTTCAATTTTCTTAGGTACTATAATTCAATCATTTTGTCCTCTTGTAGTTTTGTTGGAAATGTAGTGCTTACATGGGAGAGACACTTTCCACAAAAACTAATTCAATAAAAAGCAAATGTTGAAATTTTTTTTTTTTTAGTATATTAATACACTTTTGTGGGTCATTTTTTCAATTCAAAAGTCAGGAATTAACTATTCCACCAAATATTAATGATCCAGAAACATATAATAATTTCTCATATTTATACCATTTTCTACCATGGTGGTTCAAGTAAAGACAAAGTGAGTGTATTTTTTGTCATTGTTAACCAAAATCTTCAAATCAAGCTTTCAAGTTTAACTCGATTGTTATTCTAAGCAGCTTTAACTAGCCCCAATCTCAGAATATTTTTCTAAATTGTCTAGGTGATTTGATAAAGTTATGTTCTAGGGTGAGAATTAAAGTACTCAAAAAATGGAGTATTGATCGGACTAACAGTGGTATTTAATAGTCAAAGACATGATGATAGATTTGATAGCTCAAGACATCTAAAACTGAAAGGGTATGGAAGTTCAAAAAGGCTTCTTAACTGGTTGATGAATGATGACTAAAGAAGACAATGAATACAGTCGAACTTAGAGATTGGAGTAGGGAAAAGTCATACATGAGGTCAAAACATGCATGAGCCTTATATAAAATTGATGATAAGGTGGTGCCTGTCGTTTAATTTTTAATTTTTTATTTGTTTGCCTTTGATAATAACTTTTGTCATTTTTGTGTAGGATAATTCGAAAACGGATGTTTGGAGAATTTTAGAATCCAACGCTTACAGGATGTTTGGAGAATTCTAAAACCTAATATCTAGAATTTATATAGATGAATTATTCTAGAATGTAAATCTTAACCAGTCATTATAATATAATCATATTCACTTATCAAAAAATAATATAATCATATTCATAAATTGAGAATGGAATGGCCTATAAATAGGTAAAGGTTCCTTTTGAAATTATGGATTTGGTGCAAACTAAGGTGGGTGTCAATATAAAAGAAAGTGAGAACAATGAGAAAAAAAAGTTGATAAATAAAAAGTGTATTGTATAGTTTTTAAGAAAAAGCATGCTCCTAAGAACTGGGAATGTTATTTGGGAAATTTTTAAGTGTATGTTCGTGATTCTTTTTGTTAATGGACTCATTTGTTCCACTCCTGTACATTTTTTATTGAATATATATTAAATATGATATTTCTATTGATGTTCAATTTTATACCAATTACTTTTTCTGATTTGTAAATTTTTTGTAGAGTAAAGACAAAAACATCTCTTGAACTATTGGTTTTTTTTATAAATAAACACCCTAAACTAAAAAATCCCTCTAAACTATTGATTTGTTGCAATTAAGAACAAATCCATAATAAAATATTATTTTACTATTTTGCATTAAATTTGTCATTTCTTATTAAATTATTTTTATTATCTTTTCTCTTATCTAAATATTAATTATACTATTTACCTTAATTTTATTATTAGTATCAATTTATCATAAAAATGAAAAAATTAAACAGATTTGTAGGTAACTACCATTTTCTAAAATGATTAAATTATTATTAAAATTTTATTATTTATAATAAAACTTATTATACCCAGTTTAAACTTTTTTAGGAAAAATAAAAATAAATTATTTTTCATATAATATATTGATGAAAATTTAATAAATTACTTAAATAAAAAAATACATTTTTTTCATGTATATTCATGAAAATTTGAGAAATTAATTAAATTATTTTAAAATTTTCTACTTAAGATTTTTATTTAAACAACTAATTTCAAAAATTAAATACAAATTTATGCAAATTTAATGAAGAATATGTCACCAAATTAGTATGAATTTTTTATTAATTTATTTCAAAAAGAAAGGGCATTATGGTCATTTAATGAAATATAGGTTACCGCATTGGGGCATTTTGTAACAAAATTTGATAGTTTGAGGGATATTATGCACAAAATATAGTTTAGAGGGGCTATTTACAAAATTAAACATAATTCAGAGATTTTTTTGCACTTTACCCTCTTTTCTTTTTAGGTAAGTTACACTCACACCCCCTAAGCTTTCGGTCAACGCCACTCAGCGGATGGTCAACGCACAAGTTTACATTGACACCTCCTGAGATTTCAAAAGTCATATTTACCATCAAATCTGTAAATTGACAACAATAACCTTCCATCATATTATTATGTAATCCCCTCATCCACCACGGCTACACACCACCGCAACCACCGCCACACCAAACACGCTTTCGGACTCGCCTAAATGCTTGATGTGTCATCATCACACAAATCCCCTCTCAGGCTCTCAACCACCACCGCCACGCACACACACTACCACAACCACCGCCACACCCACACACACACCACCACCACCAACACACCCACACCCCACTACCACAACTCATCACCACACTAAACACGCCTCCGGACTCGCCCAAATGCTTCGCGGCGGAGCAATTGTCAAAGTCACCAACTCCAACCAGGCCAAGATCGCCGAATCCACCGGAGCTTGTTGTGTCATCATCACACAGCCCTTTAAAGGAGGCATTGCTCGCATGCCTAACCCATCTCTCATCAAAGAAATCAAGTGAGCAGCATACCTCCAACGGACCACAGTCTACGCCTCTGTTGATGTGACGAAGGTTAAATCAACGCTGCAAGAGCACACTTCACCCAATCTCCTTCAATGGCTCCGATTCGAACCAGAGAGTTCGTCATCGCCGATCTCTGAGCATTCAATCCTTCAAAGGCTCCGATCTGATCTCGCAAATGACGATCATCGAACGGCTAGGAGATTTGGATCTGTCGATTGAGAATTGCACGTATGACGACGTCAACAAGAATCCATGAAGGTTCAATCTGGTGCCAAAACGTGGTGGGGAGTCCACCGGAATGGCTTTGTGCCGCCGCCGTGCTTTGTGGGTGATGGTGATCTGGTTGTACTGATGGGAGGGTGGATTAATGGGTCAAAGGGCACTTAGGTCATTTTATAATTAAAAACTAATTGTTGACACTAATTAAAGGTCATTTTGGAACAGTGAAGAAACAAAGATTTTGTAACAAATATTACTATCTATTTATTATTCTCCTTGTCATATTCATAAATGTTGAACTTGTCCAGTGAAAATGTTGCCAAACTTCCAGAACTGCCGGAGAGTGTTCCCCCGTCGGAGAAACCCCCCACCTTCAGTTGCCCAGTTTGCAAGGGACCATTTGTAGAAGAAACATCAACCAAGTGTGGTCACATTTTCTGTGAAAAAATAAAAAATAAAAAAAAAAGAAAAAAAAATTGCTTAATTCCACCCTGTGATTAAGCGAAGCTAGATACGATTTCAGTTTATGATGCCAAATCATGCAAGCTTGCTCTTTGATTTTCTATGATAAAATCTGTTTACAAATGGTAGAAAGTGAACAAGGTGAAGCTGTTATTTCAGCTGCAGGAAATGAGAAGGCTGTTATTTTAGTCTACGTAGCTTGCACAGCCTGTTATAGGGGGGTGGTCACTCCCGAAGTCAAATGAGATTCTTTAAAACCATGGATTTCTTAGACCTAATGCTTCCCGAGGCATCAGAGCCAAGTTCTTACCCACTTGAGCCAACCCCTTCCCGTTATCTTCAACATCAGATAATTTATATGCATGGATACAACCATCTACTACTACAGCACAAATTAGAAGTATGGCCTAATTCTGGTAAGTACACAAACCAACCTAAAAACAGCATTGCGAAGAACTCATCTCATTACAAATGGTAAGAATTAAACTATTGAAAGTTTCAAGCTTACCAACTAAAGACTATATCCCATTATCCCCTCGAAGAATGCTGGAACTTATTCCGCTAAACACAATGTTGTATAGCGAATAGCCGGCAAGTTATCCTGCTCTCTTGACATTCTAAACAGCAAACATAATATGATCGCAGGTCTTAAAAGCAGAAGTTGTTTTACTTACAATAAACTTCAAGAAGAAGCACATACCATAATCTCCCTTCTTCCCTCAACCCGGCTAGCATTAGCACCAACTCTTGACAAAAAGCACACAGCACAATGTCCCACATCTCCCCAACCTGTTTATACTTGCACTGGCCAAATACTGCTAATGATGGTAATACTAATGATGATGATGAAGAAAATAAAACGTAACAAAAAGAAAATAACACCCCTTAATTTCCTTTATAAACTAGCAAATCTTTGAACAAGAAATTGTCCACAAAGACACCCATCTAAGACACACAGTGACCATACAGACAAATTTTACCTTACGGTGCTCGATAAAAAAATTTGTTATGGACAACCAGCCAATGCATCATAGAAGACAGCAAAGTCGGCATAGACACTCTCTCTATTGCTCTCAACTTAACAAACTGCGTGGGGCTGAATTTTGATCAATGCATCTTTTTAAAAAAGGAATCCCTTTTCATTTTTCTCCTGATTTCGTTGCAGTGCCATCAACATTCCGTAGACAGAAAATGTGCTCAATAAAAAATAATATAAAAATAACAATATCCGGTGCTGATCCCACCCATCGGGGGTGAGAGAGAGAGAGGGAACTGAAGCACAACTGCCCAAGGTCAAGTCACCTTTGATAAATTTTGTTTTTTTTCTTTTTTCTTTTCCCTTCTCCCTTTGATAATTGACAAGTGTCCGACAGCTTTTTATTAGAAAACCCAAACAAGTGAGTGCCTAAGCGCCTAATTGCAATAATAAGGTTGATTCAGTCTCCCTAATTCCAGAAGCATTGACAAACCAGGCTGCAATTAATCTCTTAAATTTCGATAGTGACACTTTCTTTAATCTGCTGGCAGGTTGATGGAACAGTAAAAAGAGTTTTCATTTGAAATTCTCTTCAATTTAGTAGGCAGGTTGATGGAACAGTAAAAAGAGTTCTAATTTGACAGTCTTCCAATTTAGTAGGCAGCTTGAGGGAACAGTAAAAAGGGTCATAATTTGCTAAAGCTTTAGCACAGTGTTAAAAACTTTCAAAGGGGCAGGGAATGTCCTAGGTTTGATTCTTACAATCTAATGATTACATGTGTGTATCCTTCTTATGTCATGAATTTGAATATGCCTTTTAAATCATTTAAATACATGGTACTACTCAAAATTAGCTAAACTAAAACTTATCAAAAAAAAAAAAATTTAGCTAAACTAAAAGAGGTAGCTGACTTTGACCTACTTTCCATGCTTTCTTGTTCCTGTTACTTCTTCAAAGAGTATAATAGAACAGGGGAAAAGACTGGAGAGTATATGAAGAGGAATACAAAAGATAGCAGGGTATGACATGAAAATACAAACCACTTTCAATTTCACAATAGAAACATCAAATTTTGAAGTAGATAAATCTATATCTCTTATTGACTAAGTAAAACTAACCGAGCAAAAAATGAAACATAAGAAATAACTAGAAGTCAAATAACATATAACATTATTACAAGAAGTAAATAATTGAAAGGACAATAAAATACATTCAACGAATCTCTGACCTTTACACTTGTTCCCATCATCGCATTCTCGCAGGCTGCCTATGAACTTTAGCCACCGGAGGAAATTAGTGACGCAGAAATGATATCATCAATCAACAATGAACTGGTCATCTTGATTATCTCCCTCAACCCTCGTATCACCATGAACAATACCATTCACATGGTGCAAGTTCTGCATCATATGTGAAAGATAATGATTGCTAGCTCCTGTGTGATCAGAAAGCCCAGTAGGATGTCCAGTCCACTGTGAAACAATCCCAAGAAACTGATTACTAAGGTTCTGTTGTTCATGAAGGATCCGAGTCTGGATCTGGCCTATTTCTGCCCGGTGTTGCCTCAACATCTCGTCGATCCTCTTTTTCCATTCTGCCCTCCTCCGGTTCATCCTCTCCCCACATTCCTTCTCATAAATCAACTCTTCCTCTTTTCTTTTTCTGTCTCTCTCTTCACTCTCTTTCTCTATAGCTTCCCATTCCCGAAATCTCTGCCTCCTCACCTTCTCCATAGCTTTCCTCATCTCCTCCCTCTCATTTTCCCTCTCTTCCCATTTCTGTTCACGTTCCTGCTCAAACTCTAATTGGAGATGCTCCCTCCTCTGCCTCTCTCGCTCTCTTTCTGCCTCACGTTGCTCAAACCGAGTTTCCAATTCCCTCAACCGCCCTAACTGGTTTGCGAGAAAACCCCATGCCTTCTTCTCCAAACCCTTCAACACCTTCCTCTTTTTCCTTGTATCAGACCCAGCTGGCTCAATATCTTCATATACAAAACCATCGTCTCCATCCTCCTTCGTAAGATTATTATTATCATTGTAATTCTCCTCTCTTTCCTCTCCATCATACTCAAACTCTAAACCTATAACCCCATCGTCACCTCCATCTATTCCTGCCGTAAAATCACCATCTTCTCCATGACCCAGATGCCCAAATTGCACAATCTCCATTCCATGACCAATTTGATCAAAGCCTCCGCCATTTTCGTGATTATCAGCAGCAACCACCATCGTGTCATTACTACTAAAACCAGAAGTGACATCCCCAAACACCTCCTTGTACCTAAGAAAATTCGACCAGTGGGTAAGGCCCTCGACCCAATCAAACTCCTCTCTGCCCGAATCACCCACCAATTCAGGCTTCTTGATCTTTTGCTTCACCAATGAATACTGATGCCTCATGTTCTGTACTTTAGTAGACACATCCTTCCAACTCCATTGCCACGGATAAGCGATTGGATCGCGAACATGGTGCATAGAATTCACATACAAAGCAATGGGTCTATATTTTTTCTCTCGGGTTTTCATTTTTGCCAGGAACCCATCACAATCCATCTCACCATACTTGTCAATTAGGGTTCTCTCTTCTGCCTCCGTCCATTTCTTCCTTCTTGGAGGAGGCATCTTCAACCACTACTACGTCTACACTCATTCAAAAGCTAACAATTATCTAAACAACAAACTAATTTATATCAATTAAGCCCCCAAACAGAACAACATCACAGTTCTACACATACTGAGAACAAAAAATGGTGTACTGGGTACTGACCTTGAGAGAGAGACTGTGTGAAGCTTTGATGTTCGATATAAGCCCCAAGCGAGAGAGGGAGTACAGAGTACAGACCTTGAGAGGTGTAGATTATTGTGAATCTGTGTGATGGGAAGTTAGGGTTGCTTGGGTGTTTACAAATTGGGAGTGGGAGGATTGAAGAAAGATTTTCTCGGGAAATTGAGAGAGAAAATGAGGGGAATTGTGTGGGGAAAGTGAGCTCCGTTAAGGTATCGACTGGTGTGCTTTCGTTGCCGCAGCTTAACTGCTGCGAGCTTGGTGGTTGACGATTTGCAGTCTATGTCCGAAATCAACCTTCTCTGTCTCATCTAAATATAGATATAAAGTTATATATGTATATATTCCGTATATACATATATATATATAGAGAGAGAGAGAGGGCATATTTGGCACACTAATACAAGAAAACTTTGTTTGATTTTAGTTAAAATAGTTTTCTGTTTGATTTCTTGATAATCATTTTCAGAAATTTGAATAAAGAGTGCAGACTGTTGGAGCCCACACACCTCTACTCACAGTGATTCTAAATCATTTTTTTAAAATTATTTGCTTGCTTGCTTGAATTTAGTGTCCTGAAATTTGATTTGGAAAATAATTAATTTAACTTTTGAACTAAAACTTCTTAATTTTTACTTCAGGATATCAGTTTTTTATTTATTTATTTCAGAGCATTAATTTCAAGCAATCGAACATGTAATTTAGTTTGGGAGTACGGTATTATCGCCTTAAATTTAGAATTGAAAGATATTTAGTTCAAACTTTAAACTAAAAATCCTCTAAACATTTTAATAACAAGAAAAAAATAAGTTTTCTTTGTGAAGAATAATTTAACATAATATTTAACTTTTGAATCCAACTTCAATTAGTAAAATTTTTGTTTAAATGATAATTAATATCTTGATTTCAAACTCATTCGGTGACCCAAGATTTAATTCAAGGATTTCTGATAAATGAATTTTATTGTGTAAAATATATAGTTTGATATATTTGAGATGATTTCAAATGAATGGATCTGTGGATTTTAAAATAAAAAGGTAAAAGGAATTATTTAAAATCAATGCAAGTAGCGATTCAAGTTTCATGGTTCTAATAATCTAATGGAATGCATTCCTCGATTAAATTATTTGGTTTAAAAATTATTATTTTTTATATAACCTTAAATCTCAAATCACCGTATTACAAATTCATGTATTTATCTAAATCAACACAAAAAGTCTAATGTGGATGAATCCAATGTTGAAAAAGGTTTCTAAAATCCTCAATTTTAAAATCATTTGTGTGGATTTTTTTAATAAAGAAAAAATGAAAAAAATAAATAAAAAGATGTCATTGAGAATTTGAAGAACTACCTTCCATCTTCCTTCACTCACTTTTCCCCATATAGGGGTGATATTTGAAACTTATTTATGTATTTCATTTAAAAGGCCTTAGTACCTTTACCGATTCGATTAAACATAGGATTTAATTTTTTTATTATTATTATTTTTTTGGTAGGTAAATTAAACACACAATTTGCAAAGCTGTTATTTCTCAATGGGAGGTCAGGGGTTCGAATCTCAGTGAAGGGTGTGTGTGAGTCCCAACTAAAAAAAAAAAAAACACACACAATTTGCAAGTGTTATGATGTCGGAGTGATATGGTTGTTTTCTCGTGTCTGAAAGTCTGTGTTCAAGCCTTGCATCCTTCCCTTCTCTCTAATTACTAACCCCTAATATTCTCGCCATGAAAAAAAATATCAAACACACAACTCATATACAAATCACTATTATTTTGAAAAAAGAGGAAATATGACTTCAAGTAAAAGCTTGCTTGGTCCATCTCTCAAACTTATTTCGGTTAGTTCAAGTCTCTTGTTTTCTCTTCTTTCTCTACCAACCCTCGAACTCCTGACCAAAAGTTGACCACAAAAGCCAAATCACTACTCTTGCATACAAGCTTGGTGTTCCTCTTCCCCTCTCTCTAGAAAACTACGTAAATAATGTGTTTCTCTAAAAAAAAATATTAAAAGCTCTCCAATAACATGAGAAAAGACCAAAAGAATGAGAAGAAAACCTAATGCTAACTATGGAATTACTCCTGCATTATCATCAACCAATCTAATATATTATTAGCATCCATGAGATGACTTTCTTTCCTTTTTCTTTTTCCCTTTCCATCTTGCTAAGTCATATTTGTGTAGTCTAGAAACACTCTTTCCTTTACATGCTTCTTTAGATTTTCCTAACTATTTTCCTGTAAGATGCAACTGACTACTGCTCAAGTATCACACATGTGTCTGTCTGGGAGCTGCATTTGCGTTCGCGTTCAGGGCTCCTGGCCGGAATAGAGGGGATCAACTGGCTCCAGTACCACCCATATCCTTGGTTTTATGAAGAAGAAAAACTCCGCAGAGAATGGTCACGAAACCACTCAATTCTGTTGAAATCTGTGATCCACTTTGATTGTCCCAGTCCTGAATTCACACCAAAAAGAGATGAAAAAATGAATATGAACTTCAGAAGTTCAAAAATCCCCGTAACAATGCAACTTAAATCAAATTCATGTTGCTATACAAGTAACTATTTGGATGACAATGTAAGAGATAGAAAATAGAAAGCTACATTCAATCAAGAGTGTTTGGATTAAGCAAAGCAAGCTACAATAAGAACATGGTTTCTTTAATCTTTCACAGTTCTGACAAGTGACATTGAAATTAAATTACCACAAAACTTTTCAATTTACTAATATCAAGGGCTGTGCTATCTGATAAAGGGGTTGGGTTGAATTCCAGTGCCTGGCAAAACAGTTAGTCCTTGGTAACTAGGGTCTTCCCAAGTGGGTCGATTTCTAGAGCTATAAAATGGCATTGGAGGGTGAAAATATCAACTACAATGAAAAGAGAAAACCCGGTAAAAGGCAAAGAGAAATGGTATGTCTGTCAAAGAAACTCACCTGTTTTTAGATGCAAATAATCTGGAAGCTAATGTCTATTCATATGTTTACTTATTTATATTGATACATCCAAATTACAATACAAGTTGAAGCCACCATGTAATGATCTTATAGAAATCTGCTTTTGCCATATCTAAGAAATGCTTGTATCGATGTAAGATTTGTATATCACCCATCAAATCAAACTCGATATAGTTAACCCAACCAAATACAACTTGTTTAGTATCCTAATTTGTTACACATAGGGAATCCCATTGCTTTCCCCACGGGTAACCATTTCTTAATTTTCCACAGAGTGCTAGCAGAATAAACTCAAAGCAACAGGGACAACGAATTTAAAACAGTGTAATACTACTGTGAAATCAACTGTTACCGTCACAATTATATGAAATTCATTGGGTCGTGTCAATAGTATGCGACACTAATTGCAATCAGGATGGCAAATTGACAATGATAATTAATAACATAATGGAATAAATATTTTAATATGCACAACCTTAACCAAATCTTAGTATGCAGATGGTGATATTAATAAATAACGGTTAAAGCAAAGGCTTTCAAGTCGCAAGAATAGCAAAATTTTAATATTTAATCATAGTAAAATTTTCATCTACAAAGAGTGATACTGGTAAGAGGTGAAGAAAAGAAACTTTCCAAAGAAAACAAGAAAGAATGTACCGAATCACCTTAAACATGATAATACTGGCTAGGATGGTGAGGGTTGTGAACGTGACATAGTAGACAGGAGAAACAACAGCAGTATTAAATGTGTCTAGTGCCTGTAGTAACAAATCCACAATCAAGATTAACCAACTACCAAAAATTAAAAGTATTGTGAAGAACATTTTACTCAAAATTATTGCAAAGCATTGATAAAAGAAAAAACAACTAGACTATGACGTATAAAAACACAACATGAAAAAGAAGAAGAAAAAAAAGAAAAAATCTAGGCAAGTTTATATTGCCATTCTTTAGGAAAGAGCAGATACTTCAAAAAGTTACATGTCACACTAAAATAAAGTCAAAATATCTTATATTAAAAATGTCGATTAGAACGGAAACCTTAGGCACTGATGTCGAGTAGCACAAGGCCATGATCTAGACCTAGAGGGAGGCGAAAAGGTCTTAATTGCTCAATGAACTTTTTTAAAGTATTTTTTATTTTTAACAAACTACAACGGAAATTCAAAAATTAACTAACTAGAAAGCACGTAAATCGAGTCATTCTAACATTTCTTATAAACCAAACAAAATAATTGCTATAATATCATAAGATCTTAAAAATGATGAGGAGATAATAGATGGACTATCAAAAATTTTAGCCATAAAGAGACAACAAATAGAAAAAAGGCTTACCACAAATATGATCTGATGAAACCTTTGATTAATGATAATTGATTGTTACAGTTGGATTCCTTCTGGTGAATACAACTTGCATGCTGAGACAGATAACTTCTTCTTCTTTTTTGGATACTTGGGTTTATTATTGGGTGTTTTTCATTATATTTCTTACCCAGACCAACCCACACGAGATGCACCAAGGTGCATCATACGAACACGCGAATTATCGGAATGAAGATGAGCAAACCATTACCAGCCAATAAAGAGGGCTTTGTGTTTTGGATTTAACCACAGCACGAAGAGTTAATATTGAGATATGGTGACACTGAACATCTTCTGTACAAAGGTAAATGCAGCAACATAAAGTACCTTATCCACAGTTGTGAATGGACTCTCTTGCCTAGTGCAATTAACGAAATAGCTATGATGGAAAGAGTGAAGATTTGTGTGAAGATGGTGTTATGTTTTATTTAGAAAGCCATCGTTAGTCACGACAAGATCCACCTCAACAAAGACAGCATTAGATCTCATAACCAAAATTAAAACAAAGATGGCATTCTCTAGGAAATATCCAGCCAATATTTCAACGAGTTGAAGAGGAGTCCACAAATGAATTATGTATTACTGTAAGAAGCATGATCAGAGGCCATAGTGTAGGTACTATAATTTTCCATAAGAACTTGAGAAGCTGTTGATGGGCTTACAAGTATTGATTCCCCAAGAGTTATCCAGAAGATTAGCACTTTTAGTGTCCAACATGCAACTAATATGTGGAGCAGAGTAGCTCCACTAAATAGAGTTCTTGGTCTGGTTAAAGAAGACCAAGAATCAGCCTAACCTAATTTTTGAGGGGGCAAGGTTAGCATTTCAGTAGTCGAGGTTGAAGTTTTTTTGGAATTGAATCAAGTGGAGCTTCGATTTGTGTTTTGAGAAACCTTACACATCCACACCTAATAAAATATTTTCGTATAAAATGGTTATGTATTAACGCTATCTTTTGAAAGTGACTAAAGCCCAGGAAGCCAATTTTTTTTTACCAAAACTACTTAATTCACCAAACATCCCTACAGTCCCCTCCTCCATCATTTTTCCCTTCTTCCCTCAATCTCATTTCGACCTGATCCAACCAAAATCTCTCATGTCCTACTGCTGATTGAAGATTCCAATGCATCATGAACACACAACAATAAGGGGTCTCAATCTCTCACTCCCCCGTTTCTTCAAGTTTCAGGGCTTTCTCACGTACGGTGGTGTAAGGAGTGAAGAAGACAAGTTTTTTTCAAGTTAAATGATGTGATAAAATTAAAACAATAAAGAGGCATATACCACATGCAAATAGCACCTTTTGGTAATAGGAATTACTGATACCATTCAGAAACACCAAGTTGTCAGGTTGGTTATATATATATATATCAAGATCGGTATCTTCATTTACAACAATCAATGATTTCAAAGTTGTGCCACAATTACCTTGTTCAAATAGTTCACCTGAAGAAGACAACAAAAAACCACGAACACAGTAAAAAACCATGTCTGGAAGTAGGTAAATTGATTTAATCCTGAAAAAGTGAGCTTTAAAGCAATTCCCACTGCCTTCACACCCATAACCTACATACACACAAAACAACTGTATAAGAACTACAGAGTGTATAGATTTTGGTCTGAATGTGTAAAAGCTTTAAAGAAAAGTAACAGACCGTGAGAGAGCCCATGAGTGAGCATATTCCAATATATACGATCATATGGGTCTGCCCATAACGTGGTACATACCGGAAAATGAGGACGGGGACCAAAGCCAACACTATGCAAGCGTAGACAATAAAACCTGTTCGTGCCAAAGATTTGTTTGTCAGTCCAACGCACAATAGTAAATGCATGTCACTAGATGTAAAGCTAATGTGTTTCAAGAACATACATATATGAAAATAAGCAAGGATAATTTTCAGAGTGATTTCCTCTCATGCCATATAATTCCCTAATATTGGTTTATATATAATTGATACGTACTTGAAAGAAAGTAATAACACTCCATTGTAATTTTGAGCAATTTTCAAGTGAATCAATTCAAAAAACATCATTTATACTATTTATTAATTACAAGTTTACATTAGATTTCAGAACAACCATGTTGGCCGTGGCACATGCATGGCCCTAATCAATTGCCTGTTAGTTTATTGAACTCAAATAAATCTTTTGCCGATATAACAAATACGAAAAAGCCCAAGAAGTATACAATTTATCTATTCATATTCTATTGAGTGTGGACACAAAATTGTATGATCCAAGAATATTCATAGATAGATACATATACTTACAAATACACAGAATAATTTAAACAATTTTATGCAGATGAAAAGTAATTGACACCTCTAGCAAAGAGTATGTACCGTAAGGTATAGAGTAACATAAACAGGCATATTATAATATTACATCTTACTTATCAGATACCTGGTTGTGTGGCTAGTTCCCATACTTCCTTAACAGACTCAATTTTCCTCTCTTTTGGAGCATGAAGAACAATAGTGACAGATCCCACTAAGCAGAGAACACACCCTACCACACCAAAGATATGCAATGTCTCCTTTAGAATGAAATGAGCTAGCACTGCACTGCATGGAAGTTTTATAATAAAACAGATTACTTTTTTACAAAAGGAAAATTAATAAAGAAAACTAGAATCTCCTAATGCAATATTATATGGTTTCGTACCTGAAAATAATACTTAGAGCTCCAAGGGGAGTCACAAGAATTGCAGGAGCATATGCATAAGCAGCAAAATTAGCTACTTCTCCAACAATCACTATAAAATATACAAACTCCGCGTTAAGATAAAACTATAAATCATAAATAATCATAGAGAAACATGTAATTCAAACAATGGTTAAACAATTAAAACAACAGGAATGAGAGAAATGGTTCACTACATATTTCTGCAAACTTCATTTAATAAAGAATGCAAAATGTGCCCCTACAGAATCTTTGCCTTAGCAAAGATATAGTAAACCAATTTGGACTTCTGAAATCACATAGCATGAGGTGGAAGAGTCTATCAAAGAGCCCTTATATGTTGGAAGGAACAGTTGGAAACCAATTTGTTTATTGTAGAAAATTTTTGGTTCCCCTATTTATTTATTCATTTATTTATTTATTATTTCAAGTTCCTAAGAGTACCATAATATATTAAAAAAATTCCGTCATTCTGCCCGTTTAATCCTCTTTCGAGTCACAAGCTATATTAGATCTTTCCTTCAATTGTTCTTGTATATGAGTGAAGTGTCATTCAGTCCAAATGCATTGTAAGAAAGAATTTCAATTTTGGTTTAAAGGGTTATTGAATCTTGAGAAGGGTACTTTAAAGTCTTTCAGGTGAACTTATGAAAAAGATTGACAAGGATAGACACCAGAAAGTCAGCTTTCAGCTGCTTAATCATACCCAAATAACTACGGAAAATAAGGCACAATGATATAGTGATCAAAGTCTAGTCATAATGACACACTACAGACATTCATGTGCCGTACTATTATGTAAACCAATTTCCGTGTTTCTCATTCGCAAAATAACAGAAATTTCATAATCTATTGTAATATTTACTTTCAGTTGAAATGTTCCACTTTATGCGGAAGTTGAAGAGAGTGAGATAGCTTCCTTGATGAGGGAAGAGTGGTGAAAAATGATTAACTATGAGAAAAGAGGAAGAGGATGGCACCGTTAACTTAGAGAAAGAGTAATGGAGGCTGGTGACGAAAAGAAGTAATGATAGGGCAAGTTAAGGATCACGCTTGATCTTTTAATAATTTATTAATACTCTTAATCGTTTATGGCTTTTAAAGCTGAACTTTTGATACCCAAGAGCTTTCAAGCATCTCTAACAAGTCACTCCAGTTAACCACTTCAGGAATATTAATAATTGCCATACTGTTAAGAAGTAGTTTTGTGTCTTTTCGTATTTACAATAATGGGTATTAGCGATGTCCAATAAAAGTTAACTCCACCTACTAAATTTTAGGTGATATCAGATGGAAATTCTGACTTGATAATAGATCCTGTTGATGATGTGGTATGAGAACATATTATCTGCTGAACTGCATCAGTGTAACCATTAAGATGTCCAAGCGCAATATAAGATGTGATGGAATTTCTCAACTTCCCATGTGAAGACATTAGTTATTTAACAAACAAGAAGAGTGTTGCTGAGTAAATTTGGTCACCAATGGTATGAAACAGTTAAGGAGAAAGAAAAGTATGCTTGAATTAAACATTATAACTAAATAACAGCAGTTACAGCACCAAAACATGTTGGTTATAATCGGAATTCAAAAGCTTTTAGCAAGCACAAATATATGGAAAATTAGAGCAGTAATGTTGGCACCAAAAGGTTCATTAAAGTATGAGTTGAACAAATTGTCAGAGTATTTCATGAATTAGGAAAATAAAATGGTTCATTAAAGTATGAGTTGAACAAATTGTCAGAGTATTCAGAGTATTTCATGAATTAGGAAAATAAAACGGTTCATTAAAGTATGAGTTGAACAAATTGTCAATACTTACTAGTTATCATCCCAGCCCACCACCAAGGTTCTAACAAATACGAGTGTCCTCCCGAACCTGAAAAAAAATGAGCCACAGTCACAATAGTAATAACTTTTTATACCATAGAATAATATCTTAAGCTTTACAAAGAGTGCTTCATGTTCAAAGGTCGACACGAAAATTGGATACCCCAAACTCAAACAAGTATGGTGGAGATTGGATCGTGCTAAGGGGACAATGGTCCCCTAAAATTTCAATTCCACTACTGAAAGAGTTCCCGTTATAGAATTTATTAGAATGCCCCCTTATCCATATTAGCATAATGAAGCCCCATTATATTTACAACATAGTAGGCGTTTCCAACAATTTCAAAAAATCAATCATTTGCAAAAGCAATAGTGATTTTATTTAGCATGTGACGTGTGCAATCGTGCTTTACCCTGAAAACAAAAAAATAATAATAAAATATTGGATCTTTTATTGAGCTAGATGTTTACTTCATTGTGTTTTATACTTCTGCAAACTGTAACAGAACCCATCAGAATTCTTTAATATTTTGATTTTGCTACGTCAAAGTTGAATTACTCAAATGAAGAACGAGATCTAAACTTACATTGTACCAAATACTCAATATACATATAAAGACATTGACTACAAGAATACTATGTCGTTTTCATGCCATATGAGCATCTTTCTTAATCGATATTTTGCCCCCTTTTCAATAAGTAATAAAAAATTTACCAACTTTAATAATATGTCGAGATGACAGAGAAACAATAACAACCAACTCTAAACTGGTAGTCATCATTGTCCTCCATGGCTACTATCATTCGTCATTCTGCCAATTTACCAGTTCCGTCCCCCAACAAAATAGTTCTTGTTTCAGCCAAGCATATATTAATCACATATTTATAAATAAATTCTTTATATATGTATATGTATAGCTGTACATACATATACGTGGACAAGATCAACTTGCATCCATTTTAGAATAAACTCAAGAAAGCACAGTGTTGCCGGGGGCAACTACGAATAGCCATTTTGATTGATTATTTGTATACAAAACAAGCATGAAATAAACAGTCAATCAAACACTAAATTAGCAAAAGACAATTCCTACAAAAATAAAAAATAAAATGAAAGAAATCTCCCAATGATTATGATGTGAATAGATCATGTCCCATGTATAAATATATGCACACATTATGTTTGTATATATGTGTGTGTAGTTTATACCAGCAACAACAACAACCAAGCCCTTTTTCTCAACTAAAGAAGGAGCACAAAGAAAATTGGACCTGCTCTGGTTCCAGTAGCCCCAGCTTTTTTTAGACCTTTCTTCTTGACAATAAAGCTTGACCCAATAAAAATACTTGATAGCATAGCTAAAAGAAGTCCAGTAATATTGTCAGAGGACATTCTCCCCATTTATAAAAAAATGGAGAGAGAAAACAATCAATTCTTTGATAGCCAGTTCCTGAATCAAACCCATAAACAAAAAATTATTAAAATAAATAAAGAATGAATATAAATCAACATTTATATGTCAACAAATTTACCTTTTTTTGGCACTCAACAAACTGGTATGTGTCTAGATATTCCCATCCATGGTGATATCGAGATTGATTAATATCAGATTTGTATCATATTTGCTATGAATCTCAGCCAAGTAAGATACCAAACCTCGAATTGGTTGAAGTACAAATAGATTCTAAACCCAGACAGGCTTGCCGGAATTAATGATTTGTTATGAATCTTGTGATGATGATGATGAAAGATTTTGTGGGTTGAGCCTCCCTCTCTCTCTCTCTCTTTCTCTGCTTTCTCTCTCTTCTGTGATGTTTGTGTGGGAGAGAGAGAGAGAAAGGGAGAGGTAGTGCTGGAACACAGAGCAAACGGCACATCCGTTACATTTGCGTCTGAGAAACCCAACCACATTTTAAGATGGCCTCCGCATCCCGCGCTGGGCTTAAGTGGCAGTGCTTTACATTCTCGATTTTACCCCTACCATGTTCTGATATTTTCGTAAAAGCCCTTTCTACAACCTGTCAAATTCAATTATTTTCTTTTCTGAGAGAATGGTTGTTAGTTGACATTTGCATCCATTCTAGACATTTAACTGAAAATGGTTGTTTGTATCAGAAATAATAAATTACCGTCTTTTCGAGAAAAAAAAAAAAAAAAAAAAAAATTGAAGGCCTTAGAACCTTTTTGGTTGTGCGGTTCAATCAAAATTAATGTTTAAGTTTCTTTATAATATCATAATAAACTACTTTTCTTAATGGTAGGATTATTTAGTAAATTTCTTTATGAACAGTGTAGTCCACTTCAATTAATATTCTTCAACCATAAGCAACCAGTATGCTTTCATTTGTGATGCTCGAGGAGAAATTATTGGATGGTATTGCCTATTGAACACGAGAGGGAGGAGCCAGGATTTCAATCCAAGGGGCCACTGTGCAAAAATATATATATATTCAACGAACATGACAAATGTTGATTGTTCAAACTGAGTAGGAAAAAAAAAAAATATTGCAAAACCATATTACTAAATCAATGAATAGTATAAAAAATATAAGTACTTGAATAATATAAAAACTAAAATATTGTTTATTAATTAATATTTTCATTACATATGGTTGTATGTGATGCATGAAAATTACACCCATTGACTTTATAAACTGCGGTAATAAATTTAAATAGAACAATCTAAAAAATTATATATATCATTCGTAATTCAAACATTAATTTTAAGTAGGAAAAAAAAAAAAAAAATTGAGAAATCTGAAAAGAAAAAAATTAGACTCTAATGTCTGATAGACAAGGAAGATTAATTTTTTAATTTAAAGGATATCAAATAAATTTTAAGAGCAAAAGATAAAAGAAAGATAATTTTAGAAATTAAAATTTTTAGGGGGCATTATATAAAACTTTTTTATAAATGTACAAATAAAATAAAAAATAACTAAATTTTATTCTTGGCGGGTCAGGCCAAGGGGTATGCGCTCCCCTGGGCACAAATTGGCTCCGCCCTTGATCTTAGACTATTGATACTTGGGTGGACCAATTACATACAGACTCTCGAATTAATAAAATGATTCCACAAAAGTGTATTAATTTATTACAAAATTTCTTAATCAAGGCATTTCATTGGATTAGTCAACCAAGTATCAAATAGACCAGGACCATCTAATAATTTTTGGATAATTCTATAAAAATAGTGTTTTGAAGGTCAAAGCACAAATAGATGAAATCAAATTTTATTTTTCCAAATTAATGGAGTTTTCTCAAATGCTGACCTGTACATGGATTTTACTGTAGATCATTTTTTTCATTCCCATACTGCCCATCATATATTGTTGTGAATTGACCCAACTACCCCTTCAAGCTAACCGAGACCCAAAAGCATGCAGCAACAGCCCTCAAGTCTTTCTCTTCACGACCTCTATGCTCACAGCCGACGATAAAGAATTTCAAGAAGTTGTTGACGACATCTATGAATGATACCCTCAATTGGAGCTCTATTTGAAGAATAAACGGATGGGCAGTATTGTAGATCTGTTGAAGGATTCCAAAGGAGTGCAAAAGAATCCATTGAGTTGAATATCGAAGAATTCAAAAAAGCTCTTTCACAATTGGATTCTCAAATGATGAATCTTCCTGCAACAGCTCACACAACAAGGTAAAATGAATCCACTTTGAAAGCCTATTTTATTTATTTATTTTTATTTATTACATTGTTCCTGTGTTCATTGAAGAGGAATTCTATTCATGTTGGAAAAATATGGATTTCATTATGGGAATACAATTTATTTTGCAACACAATGTCAATTCCCTGAATCAAGATTTCTAAGACTATGATCACCACCGTAGTTCAAAAATTGTTTTTTGTTGGCCCATTCATATATTCTCACCGCATGTTCATATCGAGTTCACCGTGGCACCACAAGCTTCACCATTGTTGCCGATGCCACACCTCTTCTTCATCGGCATCACAGTTTCAACTTTCAAGATCACCTTTTTTTCTTTTGCAGCTCTCATCATCCTCGTCGCCCGTTCCAAGCTCAATGCCCGCTATTTCTCTCCATCTTTACTCGTCGTATGTGCATTGGAGTTACTGGTTCGGTCACCAGTCATTCCTTGCTCGCTACCCACTTGGTCACCGTCCTTTGTCTTCGCCGGAATCCTCTCTGGCCCGAGATTCAGGCCCTTATATTATCATCGCCGGTGGGGGTATTCCTTACTCACGGCCGTTCCAATCTATCTGCCGGCTATATTCTAGTCGCCGTCCGCTGTTCCAGTCACCGTGACCCGACAACTTATCCTTGCTTATTGTTGCCCACATCACCGCCGACCCGTTATGTGAAAACCCAGTTCACCGCCATGGTGTCACTTCTCCGAATCCGCACCGTCGTTTAGTCCTACAAAGAAGTTCCTCATCTCAGTTGTCCGTTGGTCACCAACTCCTTGAGGGTCTGCTCTTGCTGTACAAGCTTTTGGGCCTGGGTTAGCTTGAAGGGGTAGTTGGGTCAATTTGCAACAATATAGGATTGATAGTTTGGGAATAAAAAAAATGATCTACAGTAAAATTTCATGTCCAGATATGCATTTGAGAAAACTCTGTTAATTTAAAAAACTACAATTTGACTTCATTTAATTGTTCTTTGACTTCCAAAACCCTATTTTTATGAAATTATCCCATAATTTTTCTAGGTTTAGGCGTGTGGCAAGGCAGGGAGTCCAAGTCAATGCCAACATGTGGGCCCCACACAAAAAGTAATTTACAAACTCACCTGGCAGCCCCCACGTCCTCTTTTTATCTCTCCCAATAAATACTTTATTGCTTTGTTTTATTAATGACATGGTCTCACATACCTATTATATACTGACACATAAGACTCACTAAAATAAATTACTTTTACTTATGATAAGATATAATTGATGAATGACACCATGTATCTCTCCCTCTTTTTCTTTTTCTAAAACAAATAAAAATTTAAAAAATGATTCTCAAGCCAACTACTAAAGTGAATTGTTTTAGTTACGAGTTTTGATTAGTAATATTGTATGTAAAATTTGCAAGTCTCATTTTCAAAAATAATTTAACTTATTTTTAAAATTTTACTATTTATAATACAAATTATTATGCTCACTTTATTTTTTTTTAACCATAAAAGTACCATTTTTTTTTCATGCATATTTATGAAAAATTAATAAATTGATTGCATAACAAAAATACCTTATTTTTATGCAATATTTCATGAAAAATTAAAAAAATTACTTAAATTATTTAAAAAATTTCTACTTAAAGATTTTTATTTACACAATTAATAAATATGTCATTAAATTAGTATGAAATTTTTTCATAATTTATTTCAATAAGAAAAAGATAGTAAGTGTAATTCAATAAGTAAGGGTATTATGGTCATTTAATGAAATATAGTCAAACCATTGGGGCATTTTTGAAATGTGATAATTCATGGGATGATATACACAAAATATAACTCAAATAAGTTATTTACAAATTTTGACATAGTTGGGAAGAATTTTTTTTTTGCACTTTACCCTACCCAACTGTTATGGCTCACAACTATTTGATAATTTCGTGAATGAGTGATAAGGTGTCAGAGGAATTTTTTTTTTTTTTTTTTTTTTTTTGGAAGGTAAGATAATTTTATAAAAGAAAAGAAGCATTTACAATAAATAAGAGTGGCTGGCCCACGATCCATTGACAACCCACCCATAAAACATTCTATAATCCATAATACAGCAAGCCCAATAAAGAAACCCAGCATAGCAAACATAAACAAAGTTTAGAATGATCGTTAGATTCTTGTCTACGGCATACCCACTACCGGTGTAGAAGAAGAGGGAATGAAACCCTAATCTGCTCAATCTGGTGGTTCATGAGGTGGTTCAATGAAAGCAGGCAAATCCCATTCAAGTTTCAGCTTTCTTGCACAAGGTGAGTCTTTGACTGGTGTAGTTAAAAGCTTCTATCTAACCAAATATGTGATCTGTTTGAAGATTGTGATTTGTGTGCTTTGATGATTTTTGAAGATTCTATCGTTGCGCTCTTGCCAAATCCTATTGATTGCCGTGGAGAGAACAAGCTTGTTGACTGAATTTCTAAAGTTATTGCTTGACCAGTGAGTCGCTATATAATCCACCAGTTCGAACCATAGAGAGGGGAAAAGGTGAATTTTACATTTGTTTTGAATAGCGATCCAGATTGGCCAAATGAAAGAGCATGAGAAGAACAAATGATCATGTGTTTAATCAACAAGATGGCAGAGATGACAAACTCTGAAGCCCGTGAAGTGTCTCATGCTGTCTCTGTCAAGGGTAGAAAGCCTGCTCTGTACAGCAAGCCACAAGGTGAATCTGCATCTTGGAATGGAGAGCCTGTTCCAAATCAAATGCTGCCATGGTTTCGGGTGACTATGTACTCTAAGCCATGTAATTGTGTTGCCGAGTGAGAAAACTCCTGAGGGTGATGGGATCCAAATAAATGTGTCCTCGCTGGATGAGGGAGGGTGAATGTTGCTGATTTCAAGGAAGCGCTGCAAGAGATAGGATGGGAAGAGCCAATCACCATTGTGGATCAAAGAAGAAAGTTTATGATTTGGTAGGATTGGTGAGTTAGCAATCTCTTCTTTAGTGAAACTTTTCGAGAGAGGACCATCAAAAAACTAGTTATCTTCCCAGAAAAAAGTATTCAAACCGTTCCCAACCGTAGTCATAATCATAGATCTCGCCACTTCTCTGAGCTGCAGAATTTTCTTCCAATTGCTAGAACATGACTGAGGTATTTCCATGGACCAGAAACATCTATCTCTAATAAGCTGAGTTTTCACCCACTGTGCCCAGAGGTTATCCCTGCGATTAGAAATAAGTGTCCAGATGTGTCTAAGGGCAGCAT